CATTGTGTTGCATACGCGTCACTTCCACGAGGTGTTGGTGTCACAGGAGGAAGGGACCATAGCGGAGGATAGAAAGCTTGCGCAGGAAAGGAAGGTCCCGGCGGTTGACGGGGGACTAATCTGGTGGTTAAATAAACGCAGTAAAGATTTTCCTTTTAATTTCACTGCCCTCCCTTGGCATTTAGCAAACCTGCTACTTCTTTCTCCGTTTGTCAACCAAATCTGCAAAAAAACGCCTTTTGGTTACAATGGAAACTCCTGGCTAGAATTATTACAAAGCTTTTGCGTTCGGATTGTCGACTATGGAGTCTCCGAACAGCAAGAAACACTGTTCAAGTGCGAGAAGGCGGTGCTACAATATATCTTCATAGGGGTGGCCCATCCGCCCTGGGCGAGCTGCTGGAACGGCACTTCTGCATGGACTGACCTACACGTTAAAGGAAGAATTCACGATAAGAACGAAGGTCAAAGAAGGGAAAATTGCATAGTTGGGAGACAGGCGGACCTCCTGAGGGTGCTGACCGACGCGCAATTGGCAGCGAAAGATTTGACCTCGGCGATCTAGCATGGCTCACTCTTGGCGCGGTTGGCGGGGTACGCCCACCGACTATCTAATCACTCGCCGCAGGTCTATACGTGGCGAGTGATTAGATAGCAGAGAGAGCGTAGTGTTGAAGAGGGCACAGCGATGAGAGTCGCATCAATGCGCAAATCAACGGGCAAGGAAGGGGTCCCATTTCTCGGGTTCTGGGCCGTTTCACATGGTTTCTTCTTCATTCACTGACCACCTCTACCCTTATTTCCAATGAGCTAATTTTTCAGTTATCCTTTTCAGTTATTTAGTTAGTCCCTCATACTCAGACGAGGGTAATGCGTCCCTTGTGCCCACTTCACGATCACTTCCCCCATCACCTTTAACGGGATCTCGACACCACTATGCAACTTGCACCATCGCTACCGTCTCTGAAAACCTGAATACGGCCGCATTTTGTCTTCATCACAGTAACAAAAGAAATCCCCAAGTTTCCCCCCCCCCCCAAAGATCCCAAATCACCTCTCTCTCGTTTAACATGAGCACAACGGGTGGTTTACTCCAACTCGAACTGCTTTTCACCTGCTCATTCCATTCCATTCCGTGAGTACCGATGTGAAGTTCTTCAGCCGTTCTTGGGCCAATCTTGGCGTTGAAGTCGCCGACGATGACCTTGAAGAAGGTATGATCTTCCTTGTAGAACTTCTCCAATTCCATATAAGAATGCTTCGTGTTGTCTCTCGTCGTAGCTTGATGTTGGTGCGTAGGCGACGAAGATTGTCAAAGCTGAAGGTGAACGGCATCTTAATAATCTACCAACTAACCGAACAACTAATTCGATTTCAGATTACATAAGAATCGATTTTCATGGTCAAGTGCTTGTAGATGAGGACAGCCACACAGCCAACTTCTCTGTTATCGCATCTTCCAAGAAGCAGTTCTTCCCAAGTGGCGGAAACGGCATTTGGAGGGCGGAGTAGGGTCAACCATGACGTTCGCACTTTTCCAAAAATTTGGCGCCCCCTCCCTCTTTTTAGGGGGGGGGGGGTTCGATGCGACCCCCCCACCACCATGAGACTCAGGAGGCCACAACAAATTACTGATCTCACTCGTCCCACTCAACCTCCTGAATGCGACCCCCTTCCACTTCCCAAAACCTACAGTTGCGACCACCTCGTAATAGTGCGAAACGCAACGGTTGACCCCTGGGGCGGCG